ATCACCCTCTCAACTTAAAGCAACAGAAAGCATTCATTTCACTCCTGACTGAAATCTGGGCAGGGCTCAGTGGAAACAGCCCTTGTCTGCTCCAGGAGGCATCAGCTGAGACGGCTCACCTGGGGTTGGGGACCGACTTTCAAGATGGCACACCCACGAGGACGGTGAGGTGGTGGTACGCGCTCCTCTGCTAGGCCCCGGCCCAGGCAGCTCGGGCTTCCCCACAGCGTGGGGACCAGGCTCTGGGGACAAGTGTCCCGAGAAGATGAGGAGGAAACTGCCAGGTCCTCAGCCTCCACATGCAAGCCAGCAGTGTTCACCCAGCTGCCCCAGGGCCCAGATCCACGGGGATCTGCACAGACCCCTTCTCTCAATGGGGCTGTTGAATAACCTTGGGCTAACACTTTACAACTTCCACAGCATTTTAAACAGCTCAATAAATTTGAGCCATTATCATCAGGAGTGAAGACAGAAGACGATATCACCAGAAGACAGAAGCCAACCCAGCTGAGGTCGGCACCCCGCTCTCAGCTGCAGAACAGCTGGGGGCTCAGGTAGGCAGCGCCCGTTAAAGAATACTGCGGGAGGTGAGTGTAAATTCACCTACACACTAATCTCTTCTTCCTGCTTTTATGTAGGGAGTTGTGTGTCAGATTTATTTTGCAGACAGACTTCCCCAGGATAGCCCCGCCCCACCCCACCCCCTAAAAAAACCCATTTTGAAAATGACTGTAGAGTCCACAGTATCTATTGAATTTGGAACATTGGTTGGGTTAGATCCAGATACAGGGGAAGTGAGGTTAGCAATACCCGTTCGGCTCTTTCTGCTGAGTGCAGGGGGTGTGAGAAGCAGAACTGAAGTTTTGGAAGAGTCCTCTGCAAGCCAGGTGCTTCCTGGGAGCCTGTGGGGGGAGGCAGGTGGTAAGAGGTGGCAATGGTTCCCAGGAAAACAAGAGGTGAAGGGAAGGATCCTCAGTTTTGCTCCTTTGGCAAAAAGGCAGAAAGCTTCATCTCATAACGATCATCTGGCCCCAGTTCCTTAAAATCCAGTGCAAAGCTTTCTCAGGCTTGGCCAGTAAGGGTGCTGGGATGGATTGTTGATGTCTGCTGTGGGTGTGGGTGTGGATGGAGAGCTGGATTTGCCCCATGTGTACCATCCCTGGACCCGATTACTGTTTCTTTTTAAATGTTGCTCTCATCTGACATTTTATTTTCTCTCCAATATCTCTTCACCAAACATTAACTCTTTTGTGGTTTTAGCTACACGGGCTCTCTTTTCTTGGGTAGTTTTATTCTCAGCCTTTTCTATTTGCAGTCTTGTGTCATCATGTTTCTTTCTCCTCATGCGGCACCTGGGGGAGGTCTGTGTGCGTCGCTGGATGGGAACCAGGAAGGCCAAATGATGGCCGAAGGACAATGGGAGGGCAGACCTACGGAACCCCTCCCCTAAGAGTCTAGGAGGGCTGGCTCCCATACGCCCTGGCAGCTTAGGGGCTGCTGGTTGGGCTGGGGAGGGTGGGGTGTGAACAGCGCTATCCCTGCTCCTCTGCTGGTAGAGAAAGTACAGTCACCCCTGGGTACCTGTGGGGGACTGTTTCCGGGAGCCTCCGTAGATACCAAAATCCACCGATGCTCAAGTCCCTTATATAAAATTGTGTAATACAGTCGGCCCTCCATATCCATGGGTTCCACATCCAGGACTCAAAATTTGCAGTTGGGTGAACCCACGGTTGGTGCAGAACCTGCAGGTGTTGAGGGCCAACCGTAATGTAGAGAAGCCGGCAGGGTTCCTGGGGCAGAGGCCAGGGTCCAAGTACCCGCTTTACCTCTGCCTGGGTCTGGAGCCCCGAACAAGCCCATTGCCCCTTCTGAGAGCAGCTGTTTCCATTTGTAACAGTCACCCAGTCCAGAGGCCGATTTTAGAAGTAGGAGACACATGCTGTAAAGCTTATTTATCTTAACATTCCAAAAACGACTTAAGTAATACTAAATAAAATCGTTTATGCACAGTGAGAAGTTTTAGAAAAGAACACATAGAAATTCCGATGCTTAAAAGCACTGGTTGATGCCGCTGCATGGAGAATCGTCGCGCAGGCAGCTCGTCCTGGAGGCTCATTTGGACCCACACCCACCAAAACCCCACACTCCAGGAGGAGCAGGGATAAGCTCCTCCTTAACTTCAGGGTCCTGCCCATCCTGTAGTGACCCAACATTAGAAAACGCTCTCTTCTATTATTGCCAAATTCCTTCACTTTTATGTTTAGATATTTAATTAGCCTGGAATTTATTTTTACGTGTGGTATGACTTAGAAAGAAATCCAAGCTGCTTTATTCACCCTTCAAAACAACAAATCTAGAGGAGGTCCTATGACTATGCCCACTCACAGCTGAGCGCGTGGAAGTTCAGACAGGAGGTACCAGGCAGCAGCGACACTGATGCTCTCGGCCGGACCTGTGTGACTCTGAAGCTCATGCTGTTAATCCTAGCTATGCTTTAAAACTGCACAGAGGAAAGACTGGAAGTCAATGAGAGGCAGTGTCAAGGCTGCTTAAGTGTGGAGTGAGGGGTGACACCCTTTGTACTTCTGACATCCCCAAATTTCCAGAATGGATAAGTTGACTCTTATAAGCAGAAAAAAATCTAAGTGACGGTGAGCAGTGAGCCTTCAAAGAAACAGAACGTTACAACCGTTCAGGCCTTAGAAACAAACATGCTCAACCCTCTCTTTGTAAAGATGAGGACGCTAATGCCCGGAGCGGCTCCATGACTTGCCGACAACAAAGGAACCGTTAGCAGACACAGTGAAGCCCCAGGGCCAGCGCTCGCCATGCAGAGCTGAGGGTGGCAGGAATCTCCTCGCATCTACAAGCAAAACTGCAGCGCCACTCAGGAAAACACAAGATGCGACCCATGAATCGTGACAAATCCACTTAAAATGGGTTTATACAGTCTCAGCAACTTGTCAAGCGCTCAGTTTCCATTATTTTCTAATATGCGAATTATACAATTATGATGCTGACAAATACTCAAGAACTTTGAGAATGAAAAGCAGGGTCCCTGAGGGCCCCTCCTGGCGGTGCTGAGAACTATGGCTCTGGGGCTGCCCGAGGCAAATGGAGGGGAGGCGCGCAGGTGACACATCTGGAGGGCTTATATTTCAGGCCCTTGGTCCTAGTTTCCCTCATAGTAACCTACTGTCCACAAATATAAAAAAATGATGAATGCATTTAGATTATCTGTATAGCAATACATCTGGATTATTCTGGCTGAAAGTGACAGAAAACCCAGCACTCTGGCTCAACCCGGAGGGATCATCCCTGATGTGCACAACTCAACAGTCTAAGGTGCTGGCGCCAGACTCACCAGACAGCGGCCCCCAGGGCTGAGGCCCGGACCCAGCCTCCCCCTTGGCTCTGACGGACCCCTTTACATTTGCATTTCTCCTGAGTTGCTGTGTATCAGCAGGTGGTTCTCACGGCTGGGGCTGGGGCACAGTGGGGAGTAAAGGCAGGGACGGACTCACTTCCTGCCCTGCTGTAGCACTACTCCAACGGTAGCAAGTCAACGATAGAAACATCAACCAAAACTGAACAAGAGCATGCCAAAGACAGGAGGCATTCTGGAAAAAACGGGAAAACCAACCGGAATGGAGCAAGGAGTTCAGATATCAGGTCGCTACTCTGGACTGGGCAGTCAGTCAGCCTGGGATGGCCGAGCTGAACACAAGTGACAAAACGAAACCAGCCAAGGGACAGGGGTTGGGCAGAGAAAGAGTGAGCCCAGAGGGCCTACAGCCTGGACTGCCCTGTGTTAAGATATTCTACCCCCTGGTTTTGCTCACGTCAATGTGGAGTCTGCATTTAACCGAGCAAATCTAAGGATCAATTCTCTTTCCAAAGTCTCCACCGCATTTTCACTGTAAAACCAACGAGAAAATGCTTTTTCAAAGGGAGACTGAGAGCCTTGAGAACATTATCTTCAAAGTGCAGGCAAGGCCTGTCCCTTGAGGCATAATAATGGGTTTAAAACATGCTCAGTGAAGAAACAGAAATGTCCCGTGCATATACATTTGAAAAAAAAAAAAAAATGACATCTCCACTTAAATGCTTTTCTTGACTTTTCACCCAGGATCAACTGCAAAAGCACTTCTGTTTAGAAAGCATAGTTCAGCCAAAATCCAGCTTGAATTTTAGGAACAGAGAAATGGAGGGAAAGAAAACATACAGAAAACATACGACAGCGGACAAATGAGCGTGTGAGCACCTGTCTGGCCTCGTCCGTGACGTAGGCTGGGACAACTCATTGTCGGCCAGGATTTCCTAGACGCAGAGCTCCCTGCTGTTCAGGGGCAGCTGGCCGAGAGCAGAGGGTGTTCACCCCGGGGGAGGAGCTGGCTGGAAAGGTAAGGAGGGGACAGAGGTGAGAGCACACAGCCGAGGGTCCACGTCAGACTGGCCTCCATCTCCGACAGCAGGACTGAGGTGTGACGAGCAGTCTGTGCCCAGGGGACTGAACCGTGTGGCTTCTGCGAGCTGAACGCATCCTTTCCCTGCTAGCAGGGCCAGGCCAAGGAGCCAGGAACGCAAGGACGTCTTCTGGTTCTGAGCTGCCATGCCTCTGCAGCTGGTCCTCTGTCCACCTTCTCTTAATCCCCCACGCCTCTCAAGTTCAAAACACAGACTCCCCTAAATTGCAGTCAGCATTTACTCCAACTTGTTTATTGCCCACTCAGTCCCCTAAGCCAAGACACCAGCAGGGCTGAGACATCCAGCAGGCTGAAGGACCAGGATAAGCCAAAGCCCGAACATGGACCTTTCTGCCTTCAGAAGATGGCAAGTATATTACAGCTGACTTCCCTGCTCCTCAGGAGATACCAGGCAGCAACTGAAGCTCTGACTTCCTGGAGAGGACTGAACTCAAAGCAGCCCGTGCAGCAAAGCTCCACCACATCCCACTGTGCTGGGCTCTGAAGTTCGCCGGGGGCCGGAGCAGGATGTTGTCACGGGTCAGGGTGCGGCTCTCCAGCGCGGCCGCCCGCCGGGCCACTGGCCCCCTGATGCCTGGCCAGCGCCACCCTCGCTGTGTTGGCGCCCAGGCAGAAGCCCTGCAAGCGGGAGATGGCCTGCCAGGCCTCGTCCGGGTCCCGGTAGTGGAGGAAGGCCCCGCGCTGCGGCCCCTGCCAAGTGAGCTGTGAGGGCGCCGCGCCCCGTGCGCTGAGGGCTCGCTTCAGCTCACTCACCCGGGCGTCCCGGGGGAGGTTCCCAACGTAAACAGTGCTGGAAGGCACATGCTCCCCCTGCAAGGAGCCCGATTCCAGCGAGGGCAGCTCCCGCGGGCTTCTGACGGTGCTCAGGGTGGCCCGGGCACCCGGAAGGCTCCGGTGTTTATCCCGGAGGGTGACGTCCTTCCCGGCCTGCTCCTCTCGGCAGCGCAGGCTTCTGAGGACTGGCATTTTCCCCATCATCTCACAGCTGATCTGAAAAAGCAAGGCAGTTCCAGCTATTCTTGAGGTGTCCAAAGGGACCATGACTTGGTCACAAGGGAGGAGAAAGCAGTCACTCGGGGGCCTCGGCCCCACATGCTCGTGGAAGCCTCCGTCCACTCAGGCCAGCCATCTCCATCTGCCACCCTGCGTCTGCCAGACAGGCCGTGGCCGCTGCAGGAACCGGACGGCTTTCTGCATTGTCCCGGGGACCCAGAAGGCAGACAGCCATGGCTTCCTGCGCGGAAGGCAGAGAGCAGGGCTTCCCTGGCGGCCCAGTGCTTGGGCCTCTGCCTTCCAAGGCAGGGGGTGCGGACTTGACATGCCTCACCGCCAAAAAACCAAAACATAAAAGAGAAGCAATATTGTAACAAATTCAATAAAGACTTTAAGTTCACATCAAAAAAAAAAAAATCTTAAAAGAAAAAAGAAGGGGAGGAGCTAAGATGACTGGTCTGAGGGTTACAGGGTCACAGATGGCAACCGCCCTGGCGATCCCAGGATAATGGGGCGGTTTCTGCTTCCACACCCGTCTCCTCCACAACCTACGCCTTTGGGTGGGATGAGGTCTTTAATGGGGCTGTGGGGATCTCCTTCTCAGCCTCCCCCCACCCCCCGCCTCGCACCCCTTAATTAAGGGCCAAACCCATCCAGACCTCCGGGAAAAAGCACAGACCAGGTGAATGTGAAACAGAATGCTACATGGAGAACACTTTCTAGCAAAGGGTGATCAGGTTACAAAATAACGAATCCCACATACAATGTTACATCTCAAAGAGAAAGACTTTTACACAAAAGACACTTTTGGTTTTTTGGTCAAATTGATCAGCAAGTATTTCCTGAGCACCCAGAGCAATGGCGGTGACAGAAGGGCCCCAATACTCGAGGTGAAGCCTGAACAGGACACCCACGGCTCCGTCCTGTGGGGCAGGGGCACTGGGGGCTGAGCCTAGGGCATAAGTGGTTCACGTCTCTTAAGGAATCCCAAGGCAGAAAGGAAACAGAAAGCCACGCTGAGTTCTTTTCAATAATTCATTCTTTAGACACACTTTCTGTCTTCTGTTTGGGGCACAAAGCATGTAAATGATCAGTCACCAAGGGAATTCCCTGGCAGTCCAGTGGTTAGGACTCCATGGTTTCACTGCTGAGGGCATGGGTTCAATCCCTGGTTGGGGAACTAAGATCCCACAAAGCTGTGCAGCATGGCCGGAAAAAAAAAAAAAATCAGTCACCAAGAGGCAAGCAATGGTGCAAACACAGGCTTCCCATAGATGTGGGTATATCAGAACACAGATCAGCACACAAGGTGGACAGCTATCATTTTTCTACAAAAACAGTTCAACTAGCACTAGTGTTCTCAATATATTCAGAATCCTATGTAACTTAGGGCAATGGTTCTTATCCTTGTTGGGGTGTCAGGGGCCCTGGAGAGAAGCTGGGGTTCCCTCCCAAGAAGGGCTCCACCACAATTCTCTGTACAATTTCCCAGCATCTGTTCCCGGACCTACAAACCGCAAGAGGCACACAGGTCCCGGGTTGAGAATCAATGGATTAGAATAAGATTTAAAGAAACACGAACACCTAAGCACGGCAAGTATCTCCTCACAAACCTACAGGCTGCTAACCCTCACCAATTTCGTCCTGGTCCTCTCTCCCAGTGCTATGCAGACGATGCTCTCCACCGCAGCAAAGCCCTGCCTGGGGGTCAGAGCCCTCCCCAGCCAGATGCTGCCCTTGTCCCCGGCACAGCCAAGTCAGGAGCCTTGCGGGGGCACCCGACCACTCGGGTCTTCAGAACAGAGCACACTCTTAGCGCAAAGAAAAACTCCCTCCTTCTCATGTTTCCCATTGTTCAGGTACAGAGAGAGAAACAAAAAGCACGTCTAGGCCACGGAGACGCCCACAGATGGAGCCGCTCT